GCTACTATCCTGTCGGGTGCTCTGTGTTCTTCAACCTTCTCTTCCCATGTCTCTTGGCCAATGAGCCATGACACTGGGCAAATTTTGACATACTACAGTGCTTCCATCCAGTCCAATGTCCTCATGTTTTTTGTCTAAGAGCCCTCCTTGATGTTAGCACAAGGAACCTCCATGCTCCTACTTCTGCCAGTCTCTGTTTCACCAGGCACCTCCCTCGGACTTCCAATTGGCCACCACCTTCATCTCTCTCCCTCGAAGCAATATTGCACTTGTGGACAGTCAGGTGAGTTATCACTTTTGGGTTCCTCCACGTTCTGCCAGCTCCTGCATTTCCAGACCTCAAACTTCAGAGACCCAGTACCCCTGAACTTCCTTGACTCCCCAGGCTGCTCCCGGCCATCACACACTCCGTGAAATGGTGACCCTCAACTCCTAGGCTCACCTTTTGCCCACAGTCACTGCTCATAGGCCTAGGATTCAGCCAAGTGGTTGAGGTAGAGAAAATGAAGCCAGGGGACATTCCTTCCCTTCCCCAATGTTGGGGCCTCTGATATGCTGGGTCTACTGAGATCCAGCAGTGAATTCCATCTGCCTATTCTTGGCTCAACAGACCTTCTTACTGGCTTCCACTGCCCACATATTTAATGGGTGCTAGACAAAGACAGGGGCAGAAGCAGGAGCAGTGGTGCCCAAGGCTCCCTCCCTCCCTCAGGCCACTTGTGTGGGGCCATAAGAGACTGCTCTAAAGCTAGACACACCAGCAGATGGGTGCTGGGGGAGAGGAAGGCACACAGGTGTCATAGCCAACTAGCATCTCTGGTCCTCCCACTCTTCCCTCCAGGCCTCCACCTCCAGAAGGAACAGAAAAACACCACAGAAACCCAATAGTCAAAGAATGGGAAGTGTTGGCTTGCAACTTCTAGTTCTACCCCAACTCAGGTTTGTCTTCCACAATCTTGGGTTTAGTTGAGTAAACAGGGGCAAGTACCTAGATTCACACAGGAATAGTGGTTTATGTTGAGCATTTTGTTTATCCGAGCTCACATTCAAGGAGGTGGCAGGGATAGTCTTATAATTTCCTGGAAGATGAATGCCAAAGCCAAAACTAAATCAAGGCGAATGTTGTTTATATAAAGAATAGCCCCAGCTGATCCCAGGAAGAATACTGAAACAAGCACTAATGGATAAAATACAGAAATAATGCTTTAATAATGCATGCGATCATGTTTTTATTAACAGAGAAAGTCTTGTTTCAAAACAAATACATCCTTGAGAGGAGTCTGAAATTAATCCCCGATAGGCAGAAATCCACATTATTATATATTCTAATTATAATTACAACCTGCTCTTAATGTGAACATTCTAAGCTATTAGCCACTTTGTTAAGAACCAGAAAGGGGACTTTCTGCTGCATAATGAAAACTACTCACAAGCTTTGAGAGTGAGAAAAGCAAGAGACAATTCTGCACAGAGCTGGAAAGTGGTGGATGTAATTTATTTAGTAAAAGTGCCTCCTTTCTCCTTTTTTTGTTTACGATTGGTAAAACCTTAGGGGTTCAGACAGCACCAACCTTCAGAACTGCATTTTCTAGGACAAGATGAAAATGTGTATCACAGAAAACTAACAATTTATCATTGTAATAGTTACATCCCACTACAGAAACCACTAGAGACTGCTTAACGTTTTTATTTCAAATATGGTTTTCCCTAGTCTTCAGGTGACAAATGGAGACAGATGCCAGAAGGCTTGTTTCCATTTGTTCCTAATAAAAACGGCCAAATTCTGAGTTCATTGTCATCTGGGGTGACGTTAAGACTGCTTTAACAGACTGATCCTTCTCTTCCTTCCTATGCTCTCTTCCTTCGAAAGGCTCCAAGGGCGACATCCGGGTCTGGTCACTGAAGACAGATGGGCTCCTTCTATTTTCTCCCATGCCCTGGAGGCCTCTGCCAGAGGGTAACATGCTATTTGAATGTAATGACTCGCTGGTGAAATTTTACTGGCTAGTGTTATGTTCCGTGCCTCCTTATCTTTAGGACCCGTCCTGTATCTGTACAGACCTCCTCATTACAGATGGATTTCTCGATTTCACAACATTCCTGGGCCTTCTAAAGGCTGTCATTAAACTAATTCTTATGATTTTTCTTCCATTACTTTCTTTATACTTCTAAGTCCTCTTCATCTGACACTGAACCTGAAGCCGATTTCCTGAAAATAATCATTTGTGCTACTGCGGCTATGCACCAATAAAAGGTTCAGAGTTTATCTGGATTTATTGTGTACTGTGGCATCATCAAATCCTTGATATTTCCTCCTGGTGTGAAGACCTCATACATTCAGACTTAATCTGTTTCATTTTCCTCTTTTTCTTCCCTTTAAGGAAGAAGGTTGAAATGTTCTACTTTGGTGATAAGAACTAAGGTTTTCATAGAGTAGCGATTAGTAGTAACAAAAAGGTTTTATTAAACACTAATGATAAGCCAGATACAAAGGTAAGAGCTTTGGGCGTTGTGCCCACAAGGTAAATATCATGTTCTCTACATTTTGTAAATGAGGAAAAAACTGAAACTCAGAGAGGGTGTGTAACTCACTCACAGTCACACATCTGAAAAAAGTAAAGCCAGGATCAGAACCTGGTGACCTGACTCCAGAGCTCACATCCTCAGTCCTCACAATCTCCATTATGCTCTCAGCAACCAGGCTGTGCAGCCAGAATTATCATGTTTCTAAGGTGAAGGTAATCGTGAAGTGATTCTTTGACTTCCTCCTCCCTTTTCAAACATAATCACTTCTCTGAATGTTTAGAAGATTTTTACCTGGAGCCCATATAGTTCATTCTCATATCCCTGGAAAGATGATATTTGTGGTCAGTACACAAGGGCCTAGAGGAGGAGCTTGGGCCAAAACACCCCTAAGCATGAAGCCAGCATAAGTCTACTCACAGTGAAGGAGAAGGCCCGAGACACATTCACCTTCGATCAGGGTGCCTTGAGTGCTGTTTCATACCCCAGACATGTTTCAGCCTGATCAGCAAATCTGAAGAAATAACCCACCATCAGAAGAAACGTGGTTTACATTAATTTCTTAAAGGAGGGAGGTTGATGCTGAGTGCATCAAGATAATCCATGGAAGTACACATCCTCTGGGATCCAGGGTCTGGAGCAGATCACAGGGGTCACTCAGATCTCCAGTCAGACCTAAGGGCATGAGCTGTCCTGATAGTGTGATCTGCTGCAACCTCCTAATTATAATTGAATTCTATAGAATGCCATAGAACAGATAGGGCATGTACTGATGCGTTGGTGTTTGATTTTATTTCTGATTAATAAACTGGCATTCAGATTTATATATTACTTACTTTGAGTACAATTAAGATAAGTCAGTTTCCTTAAGCCTAGTATACTGTGGGTGGGCAATAAATTAAAATTTTTAAGTCTGTAAATGAGGGAACCCAATCCTGTGCCTTCATGACCCATAGGTGAGGGAAACTTTCACCCTGTCCCTGATGCTCCTGGTCCCTCTCCTTGCTGCCCCTCCATGTCCCAGGAAGCAGAAAGTGGAACTCAATCAGAATCAGGAAGGCTAATGTGGTCATGGTCATTGCAGAGTATGGTCATTGTGTGAAAAGACCAGTCTTTGGGGAGGTATTCCCGTGAACCCCCCGCTTCCTGTCCCTATGATAAACCTGTGCTCTCAGCACATTTACTCCAGAGCCCTGTGTTAGGAGGCTCATCCAAAGGTGCAAGGTCCCAAGAGCTGGTCCTTAGAAGGAAGGAAGAAGCTGGGCTCAGTCTGAGCCCAAACCACCCATTCCAATCCAGCTCTCATCAGAGCTCTTAGAAAGGCTCCCATACCTTCCTGCAGCTATAGACACATGGCACTGAATCACAGGCACTTTTGGGATCACCCAGTAAGGGAGGAAGGGGGATGGCCAGGCTGAGAGGTTGTGTTGGATGCAGGCACGTTCCTAGGTTCCTGGCCATAACACCTGCCCTGACCCCACTGAGGAGCTCCCATCTCCACCCCATGAGATGGTGCCCGAGATGCAAGCTGTGGAGAGACCAAACCCAGCCCTCCCAGGGCCAGCAGCAACCCAGTGTGCCGAAAATCCCATCAAGCTATCAACTCAGCGAATGCCTGGCCTTTCTCTTTTAACACTTTCCCCCTACTCAGTCAGGACATGATGATAAACAAAAAGATGATTCTCAAAATTAAACAATAATTTCAATGATAAGCTGTCATGAATCTCACTTGGTTTTAAGTGTTTCATTTTATTTTGCTATTTTGGTCTACTGAAGCCAAAATGAATATTCAAGTTTCTCTCAGAATTACTGTCATTTGGGGCTGGATAATTTTTGGTTGCAGAGGAGTGCCCTGTGCCCTGTAGGATGTTCAGCAGCATCCCTGGCCTCCATCCACTACACACCAGTGGCACTGCCCCTCTCAGTGTGACAACCAAAAATGTCTCTAAACATTGCCAAGTATCCAAACATTGCAAAATTGCCCCTGGTTGAGAACCATTGCTTTAGAAGGTTGACCCAGTTTCCTGCTAATCTGAGGATTAGGTTTAAGTAATTCTGGTACTTAAAATTCTTCAGGCAGGGCCCCTGTTAAAATGCCCTCACTTTATCTGTGTGCACACCCTCCCATTTAGGAATGAGACTGTGGTCAGGCAGAAGGCCACTTCTGAGGGCCAGGCGTTTGCCAACTGGCTCCTGTCAAGTGCTGTGTGTGATTGTCAGGTTGTGTTAAGTGAGCAGTTCCTAACTGGTTTAGCATCAGGCTTTGAGGGTATCATATGGTCAGTGTTTCTAGTAAATTGAAAGTTGATTTACCACAAGCTTCACATCTCTGTAAGTTATTTGGGGTCCTGTATTCAACACAAAGACTGTCCTTTTCCTGTGTGTGGGGACTGTCCTTTCCCTGCAGAGCTGTCTCCAGGGAACCGCAGACCCCTGAGTCACTCAATTACAAATATTCAACAGGAACCAACTGACCTCGGTGAGTGTGTGCCAGAGACAGAGAAGCCACGTGGTGCAGACATGAATTCCAGGCATAGAAGAAAATCCTCCTTCTTGGTCACCACCTGTCCAATCGACAGAAGAAAAATCACCACTGAGGATATTGTGACAGAGTCTAACTTAGTAGCGAGAGAGATGGCAAATATCCAAATGTTCAGTACAACATTAAGCATGGACACAGTGCAGAACCTTCTGTAGGCTGGCCTCTGTGACCTGCAGAAACTGCTTGTTAGATGAATAAATGTCATACGTGTAGAGCAAGTCCTGTTTCCATGCTTACATTAATTTATACTAATGGAGGTCACAAGTTAGAGAAACACATGAAAGGGAGAACACGACACAGATCAAGTGAGGCTGTTCTGATTGGGTCACTTACTGCCTGAAGAATTCAAAATACCAGAGCAAACTACTTGAATATAATCCTCGACATAACCAGCCCACCTTCCCTCCTTCCTTCCCTTGCAGTCAGGAGTTTCCATTTGTTTCCAAAGCATTTCTTGGACATCTGCTATGTCTCAAGAATTGGCACCGGGTAGCCGCCATGTTTGATGTATGTGAGGAATTAACATAAACCCGGAGACAGGATCCACGATGAAGGGATGTCATTTATGTGTCTGACAAATAGCTTTTCTGCATGTACTCTGTGTGAGATGATCTTTCAATCACTCTGATGAAGGGAGTCTTATTTCTTTGCTTTGTGTTTTAGTTGAAGGGAAGTGAGGAAACATTAATATAACTGGAGTAAAATAAGAATGAAGAAGATGCAGAGAACAGAAAGATACCGAACCACAAAACTAGTAATTACAGTCATTTTGGAGGAGCTGAAGGTCTCAGATTCTTATCTGACCAAAGAGGACAGTTAAATGTGGCCCGTAAGGCTTTTCTTTGTTCCTTCTTGCCTTTCTTTGTTTTGAAAACCACATGGTTTAATATTTAAACTTTTAGCATTTTTTTTCTTTTGCTCAAGGAAATAACTCAAAAAGAAAGTTACACTCAATGTATCTGCTTCTCATCTGTACTAAACTCATACCCTGATGGGCTCTCTCAGTTAAATAATGACCTGCTTCCCTGTCGCTCTGCAGTTTCTGCAGGGCCTGGAGCTCAACATGTAAAATCCCTCCTGTAACACAGTGCTTTGTGCTCTGGTGGAAAAACAGTGCTGCCAAAAGCCTCTACCCATGTATAATTCAGCAACATCACCTGGGGCTGCAGGCACAGTGTGGAGGACAATGTCATGGGTGCCTTGGGTTCCACACCTAACTGGGACATCTCATGATATTTGAGAGAAAGGATAATGTCTGCTTCCTGAATCAATATCTCTCTGCGCTGGTGTCACAGTTACAACTGAAAGGGTGTGGTGGATGCATGCAACTCTCAGGAAACAGCCTGAGAACATCTTGTCAGGGGGAGGACAAGAGCTGGCTAGACACTCCTGGAAGCTCTGGAAGGAGAGGCTGAAGCTCTACTCATCCCACTGCAAAGGACACCATGAGGAAATCCCAATTAATATGGTTTAATCTCCTAATCATGCACCAAATATCCCCCACCATTGCATGGGAGGCAGAGAAGAATAAAACACTGTGCTGATGTGTACAAACAGAATCAAAGGCACTTTTTACTTACTTTTTTTAACTCAATGTGTAGAGTAAGTTTTTCACTGGCCTGATCAAAAGAAAACCAGGGACAGACAACTAGCTGTACCATGCAGACCCTTGCCTGAAGAAGGGACTTCAGGTGGGAAACCTTGCCGAAAGCCCTGTGCAAAGCTTGCTGTGACTGCACTCTGCTCAAAGAGTATGAGGGAAAAGGAAAAAAAAAAAAAAACAAGTTCAAGTGAAGAGCCCCCTGCCAGCCAGCTCCTAAGTGCTTTTCCTTATATATCAATATCTTGGTGCTCCTGTATGACATTGGAGCAGGCCAAGTGCAACCTCAACCCTGCTGGCAAGAGGCTCCCTGACCCGACCTTCAGACCTACCTCCGGCATGAAGGAGAGCACCCAGGTCTTGGGGCATGCTGATGGAAAGGCAGCATTCCTAGAACAAGCAACCAACCAACTGAGAAGCTTCTGTCCCCTTGAATTAGAATTTATTTGTAGGAAATAAGAGGCTAAAGCCAATGGGGGCCTTCACAGTGGCCCTTACACCCAATGGACTGTTGGAGCAGTGTAGGCTCTACACACCATTCTGTTGTCTAGTAGTCAAAATGAACGCATCAGAAGGTCAAATTCTGGCTTGGCCTCCAAGTACAGAGACAGCATTAACTTCGAGAGTATCGCTGGCAACCATTATAACCCTCTAATTGCCCATGCAATGCACAATATTTTAAAATATATGTATTATACAAATAATATTGTAAAACAACAGAAATCAACCCTCTCATCTTAAAAAAACCTTAATACGAAGTTCCAGGAGAGGATTTAAAAAAATGATATAGTTGTTCTTTGCTTCAGACAGTAAGCCTGCTACTGAAAATCTGTGTGTAAATATAGCCTTATGCAAACGAAGTCCTCCTTAAAAATGCACCAGAAAACAGGCTCTGTTTTACACACTTAATTGCATTTTCTCATTAAGTCTTCAGAAGCCGTGGCAGTAGATATTATTTTGATCTTCATTTTATAGGTAGGAAATTGCAACACAGAAATGTTCAGTAACTTGCCCAGGGTTGCAGAGCTGAGTTGGAACAGGGCACCCAGGCCTCTGAGCCCACATCTCTACCCATGGGCTACACTGCCTCCCAATGGACTGAGAGTGAGTTAGTTCCCTGGCAAAACCTGCCCCTCCCAAGCATGCTGTTTATAAAGATGCATGATCACACATGGTCACATTTAATATCAACAACATCCCATACTTAACTCTTTGAATGAAAAGATATGCCTATGTCCAGATAAAGCATCACACAGACAAGATACAGAGCTTAATGCATAAAGAAGTACCTTCCCTATATCCATTCACCCTTCTTTTCCTAAAAAGCCTCAGATAGATTTTGGCAGCAATATAGCCAATTAAAAATACTTTCCTGCAGAGGATCTGCAAAAAATCTCAGCTAACATCATACTTAAAGGTAAAAGGTTGAGTGCTTTCCCCCTAAGTTCAAGAAGAAGATGAGGGTCTGTTATTAGCATTTCTTTTCAACACTGAAATGGAGATTCTAGCCAGGGTAATAAGGCAAGAAAAGGAAATTAAAGGCAGAGATTAAAAAGGAATAAGTAGGCTAGGTACAGTGCCTCAAGCCTATAAACCCAGCATTTAGGGAGGCCAAAGAGCTCAGAGGGCTGAAGTGGGAGGATTGCTTGAGTCTGGGTGTACTGAGGCATGATCATGCCATTGGACTCTAGCCTGGGTAACACAGTGAGTCCCTGTCTCAAAAAAACCTCCAAAACAAATAAAAATGAGTAAGTAAAACTGACCTCACTCAAAAAGACATGATTGTCTATATAGAAAAATCTTAAGAAATACCTATTTATTTATTTATGTTTGAGACAGGGTCTCACTTCTGTCACCCAGGTTCAACTGCAGTGGTGTGGTCATGGCTCACTACAGCCTTAATCTCCTGGGCTCAAGCAAACCTCCCAACCTCAGCGTCCTGAGTAGCTGGGATGGCTAACTCTTTTGAATTTTCAGTAGAGACAGGTTCTTGCTGTGTTGCTGGAGCTGGTCTCAAACTCCTGGGCTCAAGTGATCTGCCAGCCTTGGCCTCCCAAAGTTGCTGGGACAGTTGTGAGCCACTGTACCCAGCCTAAGAAATATATAATAAAGCTGTTAGAGAAATCGGAGCACAGAAGAGTCAAGGTGACATCATTTTAAAATAAACTCCATCTTAAAACTAGCAAGGCACATTCCTTTCCAGTCACAAACCACAGTCATCAGATGTTTACAGTTGAGAAAACAGCTTAAATGTACCTGAAAGGACACAATCTTATAACAATGGAAAGTCTTAGATGTCTCAATATCCATAAAAATATATGATTTAAAGATAATTATATTTATGCTTTGATGTACTTATTCCCTAAAAATACAAGGATAATTTTCTTTAAATCAGCAGAATAGTAAATTTTGCCATGCTGTCAGCCCACTCACATGTAGACATAGCTTACCTTAGCCTTTACAAAGATAAGACACCTATATAAGAAGAGTTTAAAACTAAGATGGGCTGGGTATGGTGGCTCATGCCTATAATCCCAGCACTTTGGGAGGCTGAGGTGAGTGGATCACTTGAGTCCAGGAGTTCAAGACCAGCCTGGGCAACATGGTGAAACCCTATCTCTACAAAAATTATCCGGGCATGATAGTGAGTGCCTGTAGTCCCAGCTACTCAGGAGGCAGAAGTGGAAGTATCACCTGGCCTGGGAGGGTCAAGGTGCAGTGAGCTATGATCACATCACTGCAGTCCAGCCTAAACAACAGAGGGAGACCTTATCTCTCTCTCTCTCTCTCACACACACACAAGCACACACACACACACACACACACACACAAAACCACCACCAACAACAAAAAACAAAGATGGCACACTTCTCTTGCTTTCTGAGGATGCCTTATTCTGAAACTGAGTAGATTTCAATTAATGGTCTCTTCTCACTGCACTGTGATTTGCCTTGAATTCCTTTCTGCACAATCCAAGAACCCAAACCATTTTCTATCAACAAAGCTACTGAAACTACTGATTTAAACAAAGGCCCAAAGTACAAGATTGATATACAAAAATACAGTATAAAATGTATTTTATAAAGTGCAAGATCTATACATGAAAATGAAAAGATCTTGCAGAAGAAAAATTTAAAAAGACCACCTAAAGAAAGGAGAACTATATACTGCATTCACAGGCCAGAGAACACAATATTGCTAAGAGGTCATTTCTCCCCGTATTGATCTATAAATGCAACACAATGCCAATCAAAATGCATGCCAGCAGACTTTCTTTTGTGCGTGTGTGGTAGAACTGTAAAAGCTAATTAGAAAATTTGTATGAGAGTACGGAGGACCTAGAATAGTCAAAACCATTTTGAGAAAAGAAGCGTTGGAGGATTCACACTGCCTGATTTTAAGGCTTACTATAAAGCTATGGT